TCATCTGTCCTGGGAGGATCCTGGTGTGGCCGCAGTTATGGTCTTGGCAGTTGGTGTTTGGAGAGATGCTGGGCAGGTGCTGGAGAAGGCATGTGACTGGGTGTGCTGGAAACCCATCTTTGACACTGATGTCATCTGGGCCATAGACACACTCGGAAGCGTTCCAGCTGCTTCACAAAGTGACCCATGGTGGCTTCCTCGCCTTGGAGAGCTGGGGATGCTGACGGAGGTTTCCGCCTCCCTGCTGGGCTGTGGTGCAGGACCCCACAGCATGCGTTTCAGCTATGGGGTGGCTCCTGGGACCTGTTTCTGGGAGGATGCTGAGCACCATGGCTCCCAGTGCCTGCAGGGCGGGGGGCTTTTTTTTTTTCACACTGGCTCCAAGCCATCAAACTGCAGCTTGACCTTGCAAAGTCCTCAGCCTGTGCCAAATATCACAGGACCTGCACTTCTCCTCTCCCTCCTCTAGCTCCTGGCCAAGCCTGTCTTGATTCTCTTCTCTCTCCTTGCTCAGCTCCCTCTGCAGAGCCTTCTTCCTCCGTGAAGCCTCAAAACAATAGTTTCACCAAAGATGTTGAGATAAGAAAACACCTTTCCAGTCCTTGATGGCCATGGCTACTCTGAAGCCAGGAATTCACCCCTGATCCCATTTTTCCCAGCTTAGATTACAAGTACCCCCTGGAAGGGAGTGCAGCGTCCCTCTCCAGTGCATTGTGCAGCTGCGTGGCCGCCGAACACCTTCACTGCTGCGAGGACATGATGCTGGGATGTTTATGTAGGGTCTACAGGAACTGCTGAAGTTGGTTTTGGACCATTAGTGTTGTGGCCACAGACCCGAATTGAAGGATTTGGCTTTTGGAATTCCCCTGTTGGGTGCATTAGTGTTGTTTGTAGGTATGGCTCGTTTGGGTCTGGGACGTAACAGGTGAAATCCCTCCCTTGACCGTGCTGTGTGAGCTGCCCCCGCCTCTCCCCATCCTTGTTCCCATGGGAGCAGTCGTGAGGACAGAGCAAAGGGAGAAATTTCCCACGTTTGACCGACGCCGTGGCGGCAGCGGGAGCGCGGCTGAGCGGGCGCTGCCGTGCCCGCAGCCAGCTTGTTAGCAAACGGCCAGCTAATCATGTGTAATAACCCGAGCAGCTGAATTGACAGGTCCCACCTTGGCAGCCCGTGTCCCCGGGGGACCATCTGCTGCTTCCCAGCCCCATGGCCTCGGCCAGGCTGTGTCACAGCCATGGCTACGGGCATGGCAGCCCCCCAGCAGCAACAAGGGTTTCCTGTTGACAGGGCTCATGCCAGGTGGCAGCCAGGTCCCAAAGCCGTGCCAGGTGCCAGCATCTTTGGAGTGACACTGGGAGGCACTGGGAGAGAGGAAGAGGAGGAGGCAGGACAACATACATCCCGGAGGTCTATAGCACAGCCTCCCGGCTGAGCTGCCACCCAACCTCCTCAACCCTCCCCAAACGAGGGGTTTCTGCTCCCCTTTGGTTCACCAGCTCCTTCTGTTTTTGTTACCAAAATTATCCGATAAAATCCCAAGCAAAGTGGAAGCCTTGCAGGCATTCGCCTGCCTGTGGGACCCAGGGTCCCCAGTGCCGCCTCTGTGCTGGGCATTGAGGGCTCTGTTTCTGCTCCAGCCAGGGCAGAGAGCGTTCACCAGAAAAATAGTAATAAACAGAGCAAGCAGGATTTGGCCGGGTGCTGGAAGCAGGGAGGAGGGTAACTAAACGTGGCCCACTCGACACATGGGTCGGAGCTGGGTGCGGGTTTGTGGGACTGGGGACACTGTGGGAGCAGCGTTTCCTTCCCAGGCTGTGGCTCGGGTCCCTCCGTGTCCAGGGCTGAGGATGGAGGAAGCAGAGGGGCCCCGGCTGCCTGCGGTCTGCCAGGGCAAGTCCTGCTCCACCGTCCTCGTGGGGTGGCAGTTGTGGAGCATTAAGGTGATGGAAAGTCTCAGATTCGAGGTGGCTCCTCTGAAAGGGACGGGGTGAGCAGAGCATCCCGGGGTGCTCAGGAGCCGGTGGGATGGGGCAAGGGCTGATGTTGTGCAGGAGAAACACGAGCGACCAATGCCTCGGCTGTGGTGGAGCAGAGGAGCAGGGTGCTGTGGCAGGTCCCCCCAGCAGACAAACCTCCCTGCCCTGTCCCTGTGCCAAGCCACGGGCAGGTCTCTGCCAGCCCAGGCTGCTGCTTCCAGAGGGCTGGCAGGGTTTGCCTGCGGTTTGGAGATGCTGCAAGGGTTCAGCCCAGCCAGATGAACATGTGCACGAGGGCCGGCCCCGCTACGGTGCATATGTTGAGGAGGATCTGGCAGTATTGGTGGTACCCTGGGTCTTGGGAGCCAGTTCCTAGCTCTGCCTCAGGGAACAGAGTTAACAATAAAATCCCCGATGCTTCTGCTCCTTTGACTGCCCCTCCTTCAGTAAAGCAGACAGCTTTTCCACTCTTCTCGTACTTAGCCAGTGGTGGATCTGTTGGGATTGGGAGCTCCTTGGAGCAGGACCAGCACCTGGGAGCCTGCCTGCCTGGTGCCATGGATGGGAGCTGATGCTGCCAGAGGGATACATAAATACACAGAGCCATGACAAGGCAGTTTGGGCTTGATTTTTCCAAAGATGTGTCCTGTACCTACAGCTCAGCTCCCTACAGTCCTGCAAGAAAAAAGAAAGAAAAGGAAAAGCAAGTCTCACAACAGCAGATCTTAAAAGCAGGCGTGGAGCAAACTGCTGTGAAGTGACATCTGCAGCTTTGGATGAAGGTCTTTACGCCTACCGCAGCGCTGGTCCAGGGCAGGAGCTGAGCATCTCAGCAAAGGCAGATGTTGCAGGCGCTAGGAATGAAGCTCAGTTTATATTTGGGAGGCGAAATCCTAGCCCAGAGCCCAGGAGCTACTACGTTTTATTTAAACAAACCCCGATACTAAATAACTATCCAACCATGGTTCGTCAGGGGATGTCTTTGAAATAGGCACAAAAATTCCGACTGCGGATTTCACAAGCCCACGTCTCCTGCCGACAACTGAGCGGAGCTCTCGGCCACCGGCCGGGGGGGCGGGAGGCGCGAC